GCTGTCACTGGTGCCAGCACTGCGTGGCTTGACTCTCCCTTGGACTGGAGCCATCTCTCCATTCTTTCTTCAGTCATTGCCAAGCAGCTGCTTTAGAACTGTTACAGACAACCAAAGCAAACACTCTCTAGAGTGAGTGGTTTCGTTCTCTTGGATCCCGGGGAACATGGGGTGAAAGTGAAGGACTTGGCTGCTACACTCAAGTTGCAGCGTTGCTGGCCAGACAAGAGCCTTGTGTCAGCCCTGAGCCCCAGTGTGTGACTGTTCTGCCTCACTATGTGACCAAGAGATCTGATAAAATCCTCTGCCAGACTCCATAGTCTGAAACAGATGAAGAATTTATTAATCTGCCGAAGATATGACTGCAGTACATCTCTCTCCAAGCCAATTACTCTCTATTTGGTTTTTATTAATTTATTTATTTATTTATTTATTTTGGAAGGGATTAGTCATACCATTAAGCAGAATACACAATAGTCCACCTATTTACATCTGATTATAGCTTTGCTTACACCACCTGAAGCATGGAGTAATTGCCCTGAAGAGCATCTTCCTGATGAGCCATCTACTGCTTTTGCAAACTATAAAATTCTTATGAAGGAAAAAAACAAAATGCACCAAAACAAAACAAAACAGAACAACCCAACAACCCAAAAACAAGAAAAAAAAAAAACAAAAACAAAAACAGAGCAGTAGGATTCATTTTTGTGCTGGCACTCTTCAGTTCAATAGTTTGCCATTCTAACAGCCAGCCTAAGAGCTCCAATTCCAGTGCAAAGCTTTGAAGGAATTTTAGGGTTCTTTTTGGTTCAAGACAGACCACTTTGATTTCTACTTCACAGCTCCTTTTGAATAAATAAATAAATAAGATATAACGCAGAAACGTGGTTCTACAACCTTCATTATAACTGTCTCTGTTGGCATGAAGTTACCTTTCCCCATCTGTGAAGTATGTTTTTTTTGCTTGCACACATATGCATACTAGAAAAAGCAGAAGGATGAAGTATGGTTTAGTGAGACAGGAAGTCAAGGCATTGTAAACATAAGAAAAAGAAGAAAAATAAAAATAAAAATAAAAATAAAAAGAAAAAGAAAGAAAAAAAAGGAAAAATGAAAGGCCTTAGCATAATAAAAGCAAGTGGTTTTTTTGTTTGTATTTTTTTTTAATTTATTTATTTATTTTCTTTAGTGACAATAAAAGGTTCTGACATATGGCCTCTAGCCATGGGAACAAAAATACTTAGCTTGAAAAATCCCATAAAAGCCTGTGTGACCAATTTCAATGCAGATGAAAAAAAAATCTTTGAGAAAATAAGCAAATGAGCTGTTTGCAGTGCAACAAATGCCTACAGTACTAACATGAATTGTGAAATCACTGGCTGTGACTGATCAGAGTTCATTAAAAATAAATCTTGGCCCAGCAGTTTTAATAAACGAAATGAGCTATCAAGGCAGCAATGATTCGCTTTTTCTCATGCAGAAAACTGTCTGATTTTGCATTTTTCTCTCAGCCAAAGAACTTTTGCTGAATTAAAACTAATGCTGGCATACAAAATAAAAATTCATGTCTCATCTTTCTGAGGATGAGAAGAAGATGGGATATAGCATTCAAACCTTCAGAGCCATTTCAATTTAACTTTTTCTAAAATACCTTCCATTATTTAAGGCTTTGTGGGGAAAAAAAAAATAAAAATTGAGGCCCTGTTTTCTTCTCTGCCTGAGGAGGCAATGCTGAGAAGGCAGGCATAAAGGAGGGCTCTGCTCACCCTGCCAGGAACAGCACAAGAGCTGCCAGTTCTGTGCTGCTCAGTGACATGAACATCATCATGCCCCTGAAGATGACTGCTAAGGGGCTCCAGCCTCTGCATAGGGCTGAGCAATCTGAGTGGAAGAAACTCCTACCAATATTGGGCACAGGCCAGAAAGTACCAGCATAGCCTGAACACATTACCTTCAGCAGGGCTGTGGGTCTGAGTTGGAACCTGAAATTACAATCCTGTTTTCTGGTTCAGGAAAGAGAGGAAACAGTGCCTGTGCACAGCACATGGCTGATAGCATCACGTGTTTCCTCTGGATTTTCCCCACTGTTTTCATTTTCTTCCTCATACGGCAGCAACAGCAAATGAACAGCTTTGGTCCCAGAACACAATAACATGTCTTCATATTTATGGCACAACAAATAACACAAAACAAATACATCATCTACTCATGCTTGCATTTTTCTGGCACTGGGACACACAACACTGTGAGTGGGCTCACTGCTACAACAGAATTCCAGTTATGAAAAGGATGTTCAGAAAGCAATAAGGGGTATTAATATTTTTGCCTCCTCCTTTATCCTTCCTTTCTTCTTTCTCTATTGCTGCTTTCCCATAGCCCTCAATCTTGTTGCACCCTTGAGGAGCCACAGTCCTTATTTCTGTTGTGTTCCTCTGATCCTGCTGTTTAGCTCAGAAAGCCAGCTCCTGAGGTTAATACTGTTCCTGACAGCAAACATTTATTGGTAAAAACCCCACCAATTGCAGGATCTATACTAAACTGAGCATATGGAACAAGCTGAATATCAATGTGACAAAGATGAGTACTTTAAGGCAGCACCAGGCAAGCTCCAAGTGCCTGTATCAATTTCCACTTTTGGATATGGTTACAGCTGAGTTCACAGGGGAGCCACAGGCAGAGGTGTGGGTATCCTGATCTAAAGCTCAGTGGAGTGGGTGAAAAGTCACACACTGATTTCAGTGTGTTTTGAACCATGTCTGTAAGTGGAGAGAAGCAAGCACAGAGTACTCTGTGGACCTACTGTACTGGTTCTGGATTTGGGGGAAATTTCTCAAATCTAAACACAAACTGCACAAGTGCAAACTCTGAGTGCATGCGGAAGAAGTGATGTCTGGAGGGTATCGGTCACTTATACCCTAAGGAAAGACAAGGAAAGATAAATGGTTTCAATAAAGTAATGATATTTACTTCTCCTTCACTGCAGCAAAACACCTTCATGAAAGGTCCTAGAGGTTAAATAAATATTCTTAGTCAAATACTTCAGTTAAAATCCAGAGTTGCCCCTACCCATGAGGTCTGATATATATATATTTTTCCTGGTTACCATAACTCGTGCAGCTTTTTTGTCTTGTTGCCCCTAATATCTCTAATTAAAGAGGGCCAGCAAATGAAATAATAAAGCAAGACTGTTGCATGTTGATGTTTTAAGGCAGTTTTTCCTTACTGCAGTCTCTCACGTACAGGGTATTGGGCAAGAACTGACCCCACAGTCTGGCAGCACACACGCAAGGGATCATCACATAGCTATTTCAAGACCATCTCTCTGGAAACTTGATTTTCTTTACTATTTCCATTCATTTTCTCATTGGTGGCAATATGGTGACTAATAAATGAGGTTATGTCTTGGTGGATTTGATAGCAGCAGCCTGCTGCTAGAATTTCTGCTCTTCAACCTAGCCAATACAGAGGGGGTTTTTTGGCATGCAATCCCATCAGTTGTGTGGCCTACTCCCTAAAATGTTCCCCCTCATTTTGATTTGATAAAGATTCCTGCTTACCCATTTTATAGGCCTTAGATGAAGGACAGTTCAGGTTTATCAAACCAGGAGAAGATTGCAGGGAGGAGAGAACAGCAGTATTGTGTTTTTCCACACAACCTGTTACGGTAACAAGCACTCCCCCACAATGTTTGTTGACAGATGGTCAAGGCTCAGGACAAAAAAAAAAAAATGCTTTCAACCGATGGCTGTAGCACCACTTCTGAAATAAGTGTGAGTTCCAGGCTGCTGAGCTCAGGAGATAAGGAAGCAGCAGGACAAGAATTGAATAGGGCAAAGAGGGGGAAGAACAAACGTGCAAAATAAACTCTTGGAGCCCACAGACATAGTATCTCCTGGATAGAGGAATGAAAAAGAAGGGAATGATCTGGATCAGTGACCTTCAAACATGTCTCTGGGCTTAAACCACCACAGAAGCTGGGTTCCGTGCTGAGTGTGGTCATGGATCCTTGTAGCTGTTTGAGCACAAATAAAAGCATTCAAGGATGAGACCAGCAGGAGCTCTCCCATTAGGTGATGCAGTTTAACAGCCCTGTTGTGTCTGTGGTATAATCCTTCCCTTCCCTTCCCTTCCCTTCCCTTCCCTTCCCTTCCCTTCCCTTCCCTTCCCTTCCCTTCCCTTCCCTTCCCTTCCCTGTTCCCCTCATTTTGCCAGCTCAGATATCTATTAAACAGGGAAAAAACCACTTATTTAATCTGAGTTTCAAAGTAAACTATCTGTGCTATCACCTTGAACATATCCCTATCTTCTCTCACAGCGTGGGAGTACTTGTTTACTCCAAATGTTGCAGTGATTGTATGTGTACTTGAAAAAAAAAATGAATCAAAGCATTAATAATTTACCACCAAATAACACTAGTTTTTGCAAAGCTGCATCCACATCCCTAAATACTGCATGAAAGTACATTTCCTGAATATGTGAGTTGCAGATATGTAGTTTCTAAACTGATATGCTGAAAGATGATGGTGCAATAAGATTCAATAAAACTTAGCAAATGTTCTCTTTGTTTTCCTTTTTTTTTCTTTTTTTTTTTTTTTTTCTCTCTTCTCCTATGTGCAAAGTTTTCTCTCTCCTAATAAGTTTCCCTAAAGGACAAAGTTTAGATATTTTCCTTTGCTGCTGATGAATCATCTTGCCACTTGGATATACTCAGCTGATGGAAATTCCAGCAGAATGAGCTCTGGAAGTCAGAGAAAAAGAGAGGTGTGTAACACAATGCAGAGCGCATTGTGTGTGTGCATGCATTCCTCCCTCCACATTTACGTACAATTTTGACATTCTAAAGCAATAATAGACAGGAGAAGAAATGAGGAACTATTCATCCCTTTGGCGCTGTGACTGTAGAGGTAACAGAGATGAATAGTACTAGAAAAGTTTTGAAGTTTTGTGGATGTATTTTGACCCTACCTTTTTTTTTTTTTTTTTTTTAATTGAATCCTTAGCACCTTAACAAGGCAACAATGTTTTCTCAGGGAACACTGAGGAAGAATATCTCAAAATGGAAAAAGTAAGTACAATTTCTATGATTTATGTCATTTACTTTGCAAACATAATATGTACAGCAGAAATTTGGCTGATGCTAATCAGTATATTTTTCTTTGCATCAGTAGAGCAATTTCAGCATATACCAGCTGAGAATCTGGCTCCATGTGTTAAATAAAAAAAGTGGGTCTGGCTTCCTGATCTTTTGTAGTAGACACACAAAACTATTCGTTATTGAGCTTGAAAAGAGATCTCACTTCCCCTTATTGGCAGCAGGCTGAAAAAATAGGGACATGGTGTGCTGAGCTCCTGGGTAGAAGAAATGTTTTCTTTCAAACTATAATGACCTTTTTGGCCATCTTAAGGAATATGTTCAAGCTTCCTTGGCAAGCATAGGTGGGACAGTAGCCAGTTACTACATGAAGGCTTTGAAGATGGAGGGAATAATAAATGAAAAAAGAAATTAAAGAGGAAAGTCTTTTTGTTTCCATATGGGTAGCTAAGGGGAACTGTTCATCCCCCTGCTTTGCAAGCAGAGCACTAATAGAACTGGTACATCAAAATCAATACTTTTTTTGACTGTTCTGTAGCTTGGATGTTGCATGGTTTTTTACCTGACCACAGCGCTCAGAAATAGATGCATTTATCTGCTGAGAATGGCTTTGGGTGGTATTTATTTCTGATCTGTAAATGTCTCTAAACCTACCACTTTCGAAGATGATGTGTGCTGTAATCAACTGAAACCCGGCTTGATAATCCTGACTTTCAACATTGTGCGCAACAGAAAGGACATAATTTAGGGGGAAGAAATAAGAAATTATTGGGTGAAAACAGGAGCACTGCTTTGGCAAAAATGTTATATATCAATATGTGTATTAGTAAAAGAAACTGTAATTTGCGAACAACTGCTGTCAGAAAAAGCAAGTGGAAAAGTAGGTAGAAGCTGGAGGGAAATTGGGGAGCTATGGAAATATATGTACACTATTGTTTTCTGATCCTTAAACAAACTTCATTTGATCATGACTATTGCTCAGGATATGCACTGAGAAGTACTGATTCTTGTGTGTTGAAACATGAAATAAGAGTCTCATAATGTGAAGATCTTGTGAGATATGAAGGTCATAGAAAAAGTGAGCTTTATATAACAGACTTAGGGGGAAGGGATACAAAAACTTGATGGGTTTGAATGTCAAAAGTCTGGTGTCCACCAACCGAATGCTTAGATGTTGCAATTGTTTGTTTTGGAAGGAATAAACTTTTGAGTATACAGAGTGCACTGTTTTGAAGATTAGATCTGTCCTTAATAAGCAATGTTTCCTTACCTCCAAATTTTATTCTATCAGAGTGAGCTTTAGAAGATGATTTCTGTTACTGGAGTTTGCACTAAACTCCTAAATAGCTCTATTATGTCCGGTGACCTCATTCTTACTAGGCTTTACAGGTCAGTGGTGAATTAAGCAGCCAGCTTCCTGCTAATTAATCCTATTTTGTTAAAGAACTGTTAGACTGCATTATCTTATCTCTGTTAAAAGGAAGCTTTTACAGGATTGGCACCAGATTACAGTTATGAATGGCAACCCTGCATCCAACTCTGTCAAGCAGAATCCAAGCAGAAAGGTGGAAGAGCAGAGCACGAGGCTGGCACACAAATGCCCTCTTCTTCCTTGCTGTCCCTCCACCAGATGAGCCCCAGGTGGTTTCGAAGTGATGCAGCCCCTGCAGCTGCAGTGTGTTTGGTGTGCAAGAGTCCTGACAGAAATCCAAGTCCCCACTTGGTGTGACTACACATGGAGGAGGCAAAGTCAGTGCAGTGTTTACATCCAAAATCTTGTTTTGCTGCAGATGAGCAGTGCCCCAACCAAAACTCATCCTGAGACAGCAAATCTCTATCAAAAGAGCTGCTGCTGTGATTGCACAGCTTGCTCAAATTGCGAAGCCTGGAGAGATCCTTTGGTGTCAAGTTTTGAAACCAATGGGTTGGCTTAAATATAATGGAAATTGAGCACCTGTGGAAAATGCCTGTGAATACATAAAAGGTTGGACACTCAATAACTGAAAGTCAGATAACAGAAATGTGCTTCGGGGTTCTGGTCCTTGTTGGACAAGTTGTAAACCAACAGATATACCATTAGGTTTAAAACTGCTTCTCTCTCTTTTTTTTTTTTTTTTTTTTTAATTTATTTCTTAATTTTTCCTTTTGGCTTTAACTGCCCACCACCACTATACCTTTAATATTTCATTGTTTGCTCTGGAGCCATGTGGACTAAGCCTATGACATGCGAGGTTCACCCTGCCAAAAGGCATATCTGAGGAGCAGGGCAGGGAAGGAGAAGAGGAAGGAGGGGAAGTGTTTATAAATGGCTTCATTTTTCTAGATATTTACGTATCAGATGAAATTTGCAGACCTACGTCTATGAAAAACACACATTTCATAGAACAGCACTGGCATGGGGGAAGGAGATTGGCTGCTCTGCAGGCTGCTAAACAATGAAGGCATTTTCAGCTGAGCTACCTGAAATGATCCCCCAAGCTCCTGTATCACCCCACAGCAGGACTCCTGTTCTGCATTTTTGATCCGAAGCTGGGAAGATGCTCAGGGAAGGGGAGCTTGGGGGCTGAGTGGAGCCCTTAAAAACTAAAGAATGAGAAATGGAATCACCTATGCTAAGTGTTCATGTAATATCAAGCTCTTCTTTGGGACATTGGCAAGCTGTATTTGTCTGTCAGGTACTATCAACCAGCACAGCTCCTTGTGATTTGCATCTCTTTGTTGTATTAAAACAGTTGAAACCATGATGCTTTAGGTGCAGTGGCTGAAAACCTGCTGGGTGTTTAATGGTAGCATTTGTACTATTGGAGATTAATAGGAAGTTCTACTTTAAAACCTCTGGCATCTCAGCAACCAAAACAAGATGTTGTTAGCTAGCAAGAAGAATGAAAGAGTCAGCTGTTCAGAAGGACTAAACTGCACATGCCTTGTGATAAATGGCTAATGTATTCTAACGTGCACAGAATTACAGTCTCTTTTCAGCAGCACAGGAGATATGTGAAATAAATTTCCTTTTGCACTGTTTGCTTTGAAACTCCTATTTCTTTATGTGGGAATGAAAACACATCCACGCAAAAAAGAGACAACAAACAAGAAGGGATTAGGAGGTGTGAGCAGCTTCTGCTGTCATGTGACTGCAGACTGTCTGGCATGCAGTCCAGAGCAGCAAACCTGCTCTTCATTTGTAGTTACAGAAGAATTATGATCTGCAGTTAGATGTATGGTGTTTTCCCAGTGATAAAAGGAAGAATTACATCCAGCCTGGAAAAAGTAAAAAATACTTTGAGAAACGAATCTTTTTTTTTTTTTTTAATTTAAAATGATATATTTTGGAAGGAAGAAAGTGTATTAGCTTACCCTGGAGCTTTGCTTCCTTCCTTTTGGATGCCTGATTAAAATCTCTCCTCACTCAACTAATTCCCTAGCTAAAATTGCTAAGACTGGAGGCATTTTACAAAAACAAAACAAAACAAAAACAAAACAAAACAAAAACAACCTCCACTCCTCCCCCCCAAACACACACAAAAAACAAACCTGTAGAACATTAGTTATTTTTAATTTTGCTTGCATGACTTCTACAAAGCTGAATTTAATCACTTCTGCCTTCGTGGGCCACACATTTGCTGTGCTGCGCTGTATGAGAGCATTGAACACATGCACAGAACAACTGCTTTGAGCTGAGCAGAGAGTCTACAAGTACTTGCTTTTATCACGTGCAGTTCAATCACCTAGCTAATTCATTCTGAAATCTGCCTCTTTTTTTTTTCCTTTTTTTTTTTTTTTCTTTTTTCCCATGCCTCTACATCCTAAGCTGCCTTGTGAAAAGAAATAAGTCAAATCTGTGCTTCACAGCTCCCTGCAGCACAGACTTACCAAGCAGCCTATTTTGGAACTCACGTACTTGCAAATGACACATAAACCTCTAACTAAGCCTTAGATCAAGTGACTTCACAGCTACCGGCAGGGCTATTTTTAATTCTCTACCTCATTTTGCACACTAGCAATAATCTGATGCCTGGTAAATTGGGATGATCTGGCTTAAAAGTTCAGCTGCAGCCATGTTAAAAAGACTAGAGGAAATGGATAGCTCATCTCTGGAACTTGCAGCCCTTTGGAACACAGCCAGAACTTCTTAAAAACAAATCAGCTCGGGATTACATTTTGTTAGAGGCAGAATGGCAAAATCATTTCCCATCTATTTTTCAGTCTACTGCTTCCTTTTCGCTGTTAGGAGAGAGCAGTTCTGCTCACCCCCAGCTCAGGGCATTGGCTGGGTGTGGTGTTTTCAGGCACTGGGTAATCTGGTGTCTTGGTGTGTGAGCACAGAAGACAGCTCACACAATCAGCAGCTGGCTCCATTGTGCAGAGAAGCTGTGGGGATGCGTTGGGGCTGCCTGTGCCTCTGCTTCTTTGGCCCATGAGTGCATCCAGGGGCGGTGCAGTTTGTGATAAAATGCTAAGGTATCATGAGAGCAAAGCAAGGATGATTAAGGCAGTGAGTGATGAAAAGCTGCATGCATCAATTCATAAGAAAATAGAACCACCTTGACTGCCGGTGTTCAGCCGCTTTAAAGTTTGACCAGTATACTTATCCAGATGACATAATCTAAGCCAAACCCTGGAATTATGTATAAAACAAGCACATTTCTAATGAAAGGCATGTGCTACTTGACAGCCATCAAGGTGCCATTTTTCAGAGCAGTAAAGTGCTGTAAAATAAAGGCAGCAGATTTTTCCCATCCTAAAATTACAGAAGTGTGTTATCTGCCTCAAGCGGGCACACAGTGTGACGTGATCAGCAGACGGAATCACGCTCTGCTGGTTCCTTGCAATGAAATGCCATGTTTAATGGCTGGAGGAGCAGTGCCTCACGTAGGGAGCTTTCTCACAGTGTGCAGGCCAGAAATGCAAGGCTCCTACCTAGAGGATACCCCAGGATGGTGGGGAAGAGACCAGTGAGGAATATCCTCCTGAACAGGGGACTTCTGCATACCACTCCAGCAACAATCCAGTGCTGTTTGCTCAGCCTTCTGTTCACAAGCACACATTGTCTCTTCCTAAAGTTCCATGTATTCAGAGCCAAACCCCTGCTCTGTTATTCTAGTCTGAATGAGAGCAGCATTTGGAATGGGAAGTATTAATCTTTCTTTGAAACTCTGCATTAGGACAACAGGTCTCCTGGGCAAAGTGTTCTTTGGAAATTAGTGGCAAATGAAGCAAATGTTATGCTGATAAATAAGAACCTCTGGGGATTAATCTGGAAAAGAGACTGGTCCTCAGCAGAGGAACAAGAAATGGACTAGTAATATTGGTGTACCATTTGCTCTGCTGTCATTTACCAGGGCACCTCGTACGCCTGCTGACACCTCTGTGCTCTCACATGCTAAGTGGCATGTGCACAACAAAGTTGCTTAATGCCTGGGAAGGACAAGAGGAGGAGAGGGGAGTGCACTCAGGATAAGATTAGGTTCGGGTATGAGTAGGAGGCAAGCTTGGGGCTCTGTTTCAAAAGGATGAAATTTCACAAACTGTTCTCCATATTTTGGCTCAGCATCATGTCAAATGAGCTGTCTTAAAGATTTCCACTGTGATGGGGAACATTCAAACATTTGAGTTGGAAAGAAAGGCTCCCATCCTGCTTTGGCTCCTTCCTACAATCCCACGGTGGGCTGAGATTACTCTCTGGGGTGTTCCTTGCCTGAGGCCACCAGAAACTTTCCATGCCCAAGAAGTCTGTGCAGGAATAAATGAGAACTACAAGTGCCATGTAGTGCTGTGGCTGAAAGAGTATTTTTGCATTAGTCTCTGCTCCTTTGTATATCTGAGAGCTTCTCAGAGAAAAAGAATGGGTACGTGAGGATTACCCTTATTTCAGTGTAAAAGTTATTTGTGCCTTACTATTTTTATCCATGCACGAAGCCAGCTTATGGCTCAGACCTCAGCTGTGCTACTGCTGAGCTCAGCAGAGTTGGGTGGCCGAGGCTGCTCTGAGAAAGGGCAGTTAGCAGCTGGGCTTCAAATTTTGCCAGAGCAGGGGCAGGAGCTGCTTTGGTGCCTTCCAGTTGGGGAAGGATCATACCTCTTAGGTCTGGCTGATTTCTGAGCTCTTCCACAGCTGTAACAGGTCAGAGAAAATAGCTATACTCCAGAATAGCTTTGCAGGGAAACAACTTTACCATCCTGAGCAGCAAGGGTTTGTAGCCCCTCTGAACAAAAAGTGGGCTGCAGTTGCTGTTGTACAGCTGCCTATCTCTCCCAGCAGTAAGTGGTACTGATGAGGGGGAGCACTATAATAAGAATACTGAGGTGATGCTCAGCAGGGGCTGGAGTCCTGAGGACCTTGCCTGAAATTGGTGGCAGCCTGCAGCTGTGTGAGATGGAGGCTCTTGATGCAGCTGGCTCCACTTGGGATCCCACAGGATCACAGGAAGAGCAGTGGTAACACAGCCTTGAGCTGTTTCCTCCCTGACCCTCCTGTGAAGTGGAAGCTGGACACGGTGATGAATAATAATCCACTTCAGGTACTGATCTGTAGTATTTTCTTGTTTCAGGAGAAAAAAAATCATGCATGGGGAAAAATGCCTTACCATTTTTTGGCATATCTGATATATTTCTCTTTCTATTTGAAAAAAAATATATATATATTACAAAATGCCTTACTTTTGCTTTTAAATGTAATTGATAAATCAACTATTTTCTTTCCTCTGTACTCTTGACTAAATGCTCTTCTCAGGCAGTTCTTGAATCTAGCACAGGGTGCTAGATTCCTCACCAAAGAAGCATAGGGTGTGGAGGAGCAAGGTTTCTCATGCAGGAAAAGGAAATCCATGGAAGAAAAAGGAGTGCTGTGGGTGGATGCTTTGCTAAAGTACGTAATTGCATTCCTGTTTATGAGAGCAGAGCAGTGCTGAACCAGGTTCTTGCTGCAGCTGCTATCATCAGCACGTGGACAGCTGGAAACAATCTGTGTCAGGAGATGGAGAAAGTTAAGGATGAAGGAAACAAAACAGAAATTGGGTGTCCTCTTGCTTTTGGGAGACAGTACGGTTGGACACCGAGAAATACACAAAACAGATAAAGAGCATATCCCTACTGACTAACCTGCAATTATGCTGGGGGCCACCCAGCTGGAGCCTCTATCCTAAGAGATCTTCAAAAGCCACCTCGATGTGGGCCTGGGCATCCTGCTTTGGGTATCCCTACTTGGACAAGGATTGGGCCAGAAGTCCCTGCCAACCTCAGCCTTGATGGGAACCTTGTGAACTTTGGAAATGCTAAGACATCATTAGGAGCTGGGTATGCTAGCAGGGCACACTGGTCCAGCACAGTGGCATCCCATGGACAACAGGAAGGTTATTTCTGGCTAGGGTGTTTGACACAATCTGTGGTTTGCAAATGGTAGCACACAGGGACCACCAGAAATCCTCTGTCTCTCCTAGGATGCACAAATAGATTGTGGTAACTTCCAGTTGCTTGCTTCCTTGGATCAGGATTCTCATATCCTTTTGATCCATTACTGTTCAGTGTTCAGAATGTGCCCCTTCTTGCACAGCCCTAAGATACTGGGCTTCATTCATCTGTCTTCAAGACACTTTGATTCTTTGCTTCTAGCCAAAAGGTCTGAAGCATTCATAACACTCCAGATGACCAGAAGCCACTCTATTCTGGTCTAGTATTAAATGGGGAGGTTGGTGGCCCTGCAAGTGACAGGGGGGTTGGAGAGTCATGATCCTTGAGGTCCATTCCAACCCTGGTGATTGTGTGAAATCTGGTGACGACAATTTTGTGTTAGTTGTGCAGCTGTAAAAAGACCATTTTTGGCTACTCCTTTCCACAGTAGCCCATTACTTGCAGTAGTCAGATTGGGCAAGGTATGGGATATTGCCTGGAAAATTTGGCAGCTTTAAACAGGAAGAACGCTGAATATGTGTATCTCACCTTTTGATAGCTGCCAAGAATTGCCTCCTTGGAAATATATATAATTTCAATGCGCACCAAGAAAATCAGTGTGAGCAAACCCATTC